CCACTCCACATGAACGGATGTTCCGGTTTGAACGTCGGTCATCCTGTGGTTTATCTACACCAACTTGGCTCACTGTTCCAGGACCTGTTTTACTGAAGAGATTTGACCGTGCCTCAAAGTATGAGCCCGTCGTTGAGGAAGTCCAACTTATAAATTGCAATCCACATTACGCCCGTGTTCGTTTTCCCGGCGGGAAAGAAAGTATCCGTCCGCCATCTCGCTCCTTGTGGTGATCGCACACATGTCAACGATTTCACGCGTACCTCATCCAATGAAGACAATGGTGTTCATGCACCCCCTCTATCTGACTTGCACACGCCTCCGCTCAATAATATTGGAGACGATATCGATCATACTTCAGTCTCACCCCCGTGCCCGGGCAATGCACCTGCATCTCCAGATACATATGACCCTAGCATCTCTGATTTAGTCAGGCTCCAGTATCGTACACGGCCCTACAATCTAAGAAATCGAGAAGCCTAACCACACTCATTATTACTCATTAGATTTTTACAATCATTCACCCAATACCTGTACCCAATTTATCCCTCTCTATACGTAATCCAACGGCCAGGGTGAATGTGCTCACATTATCGTTCTGTATTAACCATGCCTTCGCCTTCATTTTCAGCTTATGTACGTCTATTCTTAGACAAGTAAAGCGCTATTCATTCTACGCCATTCATTCTTGTTCTCGCGCTCAATCAGAATCGATATTCTATTCGTAACAATAAGCAAAACCTATTTTACCGTCAAATGTTTGTTTTTCAAAAGCATTTTCCGATACAAACCAAAGATTTCATCGGTTGCAAACAGATCGGTACCCACCACAGGGATGATCAAACATACTGAGCGCACAGTGGTCATTTATCCAACGATCCTGTTGGTGAATTTTGGTTAACAAACAAGACGTTCCGAGATAGATTTTCGCGAAGCATCTCACGAGGGACGGCAAACTGCTTAACCTCCCTTAGCTAGTGCTTTCTGCCCTTCGAAAACTGATAATCTTCCGAACACACTTTCATACCTTTTACTTGTGATCTAAGAACTCCAATAATTTTGATATTCATACTTTGAGTCATGATATTCCGAATGTAAAGTTATTCCAGTTAACACCGAGACGTGAAGATATCTTTCCGGAATCAAAGTTTTCAAGGCGTGACGCTTGCGACAATGCTAATAAATTCCAATCTGCATCCTCTTTCCACATCTGTGTGACCAAGGAGTTAGTTCGAATTTTCATGTCAAACGGCCATAAACCGCAAATTCTGTAGTCCCTCTCCTCTCCACTTAAGCAAGTGATGAGTAAGTCCTTCATCGTTCTGCTAGTGAAAGATTTTCAAAGAGAGCAAAACCACACTGAGTTCGATGAACAACAACGACAACAGCAAAGACAAAGCCATTCGAATTTTCCGATGGCAAATCGGGATCTCAAAAGTCATTGCGACCCAAAAGTTCCAAGTTTACTGTCAAGAACAGGGGTTTCATACTTTCGTCCCGTCGAAATTTCACTGGTATCATTGTTCCTCTATTAAGGCATGCAGACGGAACGAGTAACATGCAATTTCACGTTAGAATGGCGTTGACCACTTGACAGGGGAATACCCTGGAACGCAGTGATGGAGAACACGCACCCTGTCATTACGGCGGAGTGAAAATACTGCTCCAGCTGTTAATATGAGGATTGCCTCGATGAATCCTTGTTCGTGTTTGTACCCGCTGGAGCAAAATCGCTTTGTCAGATGGGGGTTTCGTATCTGTATGGTACAGTTCTAACGCGTATGTCACACGCATTTAGAACAAGACTAAAAAGCATTATGCTTCGTTCCAATCAATGTACGCAAAGCACTACTGATTCCTGTGGGCACACTAGCTTCAGTTTAGGTTTCGTTGGGGCTGTTCGTCTTTTCCATTATCGTTCAGATAGGATTTAGCCTGAAAAGGGACGTTACTGATGGAAAAGATTTTGTCGCTACCTATGCAACTCTCCTTCAGAAGTCAAAATTTAACCAAAGAAGTCGATTGAGAGTGGATTTCACATTCCTCTGAGTTTCAAGAAATGATTGCGTAGGAAATACAGCAACGAGCGGACAGTAACAAATCATAGTCCGAAGAAGGAAGTAAATTCACAGTGGTAGACATACTTGCAAAAAATTTCGCCGGTATAAAAAGAAAAGTGCACGGTAGCGCCGAAAAATAACTAGAGAGTAATCTAAATCACACTCAGGTGTCCGGTCCGGCGCCTCGACATGTAAACTGCACCGCCCGAACTGTAAGTGAGAAACGGTAGCTTAGTTTTTGACGCTCTCCATTCACGGACCAAACTGAAGTGTAAACAAGGAGTTGCCTGGTTGCCGAACCAGAGCCATCTAATTACCTTAAATTTAACAAAGTTGCTGAATGGCATACATTCTTATCTAGCCGCATTTATGTGCGATTTGTACTAGGAAATTTTCACCCATCTCGATATCATAATTGCACTTGAGGTTCCGTAGTTTTCCAAAAATGATGGTTGAAATGGTACCGTACCTGCAGCGTGATTAAGCATTGTTTTATACTCTATCGTCCCGAATTCATCCAGCGTACCGTACAGCTTGATAAACTCATCCCAGCTGATGACGGAAGCAGCTCCGAAGTCAAATTCCGTTCTTTCCCCTGTGCGAAACACTCGGCAAAAATTTCGCATCCTCAGGCGGTTATGGTAATCGCCCGCACCTGAGATGGCAAAGACAAACGCAAACATACCCACATTTTTCTGCCCACTGCCGCTGTTTTCAACCTGCTCTCACTCTCTGGGACAGGCGAACACGCGCAGTAATCGGTTACGGCCCCTGGCTTCCCCGCTTTCGTGTAATGATGCAACTATTGAAGCAGCCAATCAATCAGCTGTTTTGCCTCAAAACGTCGAGCAGGCGCCTTCATCCTCATTTCTGGCCCACAATGTTGAATCGAATCAAAATGGGAACAGGTCTACGCTCACACTCTTCCGGAATGAATGGACACAAATGTCCTGAGGCTTTTCCGTCGCACGTCAAGCCCACTGTCCAAAGATCACTGAGAACAAAACGACCTGACGCGTAACAAACAACGTTGTCAGTAGTAAGAGAAAAAGTTTGCCGAATGCCCCCCCCCTTTCCCAATTAGCTGTGCATTCGGACCAAAAAGATGGAAAGGCAGAAGCGTGGAAAGGGGAAAAATAATCGGGCACATTTAACTTTAGACACTAATCATTTGAGTCTGTATGTTTGTATGGAATAAGAAATTCGACAATCGTTCGAATTCAGACGATTCAAATCTTGAACGAGAATCGATGTAGCAAAGTTTGTCTGGCCTAAAATTTAATGAACCCTTACTGTTTACAGGTCTACAGGAGAGACACATACCAATTACCACAAACTAACAGGAGAGCCAGTGCAGGTCACTACATTTTAAGTAAGTATGTCGAATCCTCTGGCTCAACTGATTGGTCGCACTAAATCAGCTGATACCGATGCGTCAGCCGATTTACAGAAGCTTACGAAAACACTTAACAATGGTGTTAGCTTGTGCGACATTTCTACACTGATGAGAACGTTGGGATGTCCCTCCTTCTATGTATGCCACCAGCACATTCTGTTATTTCAAAAAGGCGGTAGGAAACGAGTATGAATATTTTACGCAATCTCAATTCATCGTTGGACACCATAGTAACCTTTATTTTCGCCCTAAGTAACAGAAATTGTACATTTTTCTATCCATCAGCATCACAAACCTACACTGAATATGCTTCTCTATCATTTACGTATACAACATTATATGGCCCAGGGTCAGGTTACGTATCCGAAAGAGTACTCTAAAGTGAGTGTCAGGTGAACAATTCATTTGTGAGCAACAACTGTCTTATCTGATTAATCGATGGAAACTAATAAACCTGTGAAACCAGTAAACATTAGAGAGATTCAGCTATCACCGTCGCGTGCAGTTGCCAAACCAACAAGTAATCCGTATATGGGATGCTACGCTAGCTCACGCCGTTAGCCTCCAACTACGACAGCATCTCTGGTGAAATCGTGACTTACAACCGCACCTTAGATGGTACTATCGAGAATGTTGGACGCCTGTACTGTATCTGTAGTCGGAACGGAGATTACAGATGTAATAGGATTACTGATTGCATCGTTCAATGCACGCTCTATGGCCACAAGGCTTTAAAAAATCTATACTACTCTGCTTGTTTTGCAGTCGAAAACAGCACTCAACATCGCTATTGTGTTGCATCCATTTCATCGTTCGTTTGGAAGGATCTCAACCTAGAGTAACTGGTGACTTCTCATTCATGATGGGAAATCAGTTTGAATTTTTCGAGTCAAATCACAGATGTCTTTACCGTGAGTTTCCTTGTCCTGGGCCCAGTTACCTAGCTTCTGCTTCCTCAGAGTCCGTGGCGGCATTAAGTCTGCGTGCAATTCAGAGGGGGGCCTTGTCACAGGTCATTATCAAAACTCGCGTGCACAATTTCCTCTTCATTCCTGAAAACAAAACACAACTACTATCGAAACAAGATGAAGTCCTACCAACAAAAACCCGTGATAAGTTTCGGTTATTTAGCATGCAAACCAGGGCATGACAGAAGGCCATCAGTCAAACAGCTGGCTATATCACAACTGCCTGGGCCGTTGAATACATTGGCGTAGATGAAGTTTATCCGACCAATTTAGTTAAAAAGCAGATAGTCAGCAAGGTAGCCCCTTGTTAGGATAGCAACTATTGCCGGAGTGCAACAGGTGCGTTCAGATGACTGTTGTGCTGTCAGACGGTCGCTATGTGCAGGTAGGTCCAGATGGCAGATCAAGATGTACGATATGCACAGTAGGTCACAAGACGCCCTGAAGCCATAAAGATTTCTTGACTACTTGTGGTGAGGGCTGAAAGTGCTGAGCGGGTCTGTTTGCTGGGTAGAGTAGCTTGGTCTATTCCCGACAAATCTCTGCCCCAATATTTGCTTTCCTAATTCTTCCCGCCTGTGGGTACATAAATACAATATAGTTTGAAAAAAACATTTTGAACATAACAGCAGTTTGCTGCGCTAGTGTTATCACTTCTCAGATATCGCTCGCACGTGGAAGTCCGACTGGACACCAATATATTAAAGGTATCACTTAGTACTGATACAGTCCACCAAAAGACCGATTATTTTCCATACACCTATCAAGGTTGAGAAGAAAAGATTCCATTTTGGCAGTATATCAATAATCACCTGCCCTCATTTGATAAACTATATCAGAGGTAGTGCACGAAGATCATTTCGTTTTTGGGATCAATGAATGTCCAACCGTGATGAGTGTACTACCCAAAATGTTCTAACAAGAATGAACGTATTCATTCTGATGATGTCAGAACATGAAACTCACCCAAAGAACAATCATTACTAAATTTTGGACAGTGCTTAACCAAGTGCACCAGGACAACAACAGTTCAATCAGTCTTTCTAGTTGAAACTAAAAGGGACAACTGCACTGTTTCATGTGATTCCAGAGAACACGGTGCCAACTTATTGGTGACAATGGTCAGAATATTCCGTTGCATCAACTTGTTTCCAGAATAACTGTAGAAGTCCGAATGATCGGAAGAATAGACAGACACAAAATTCTAAACAAAAACAAGGGCACGTAATCTGACTCTCAGTTAAGGTTATTGGACTAAGACCCAGCTGACAGCATCTTGAAAATCGATATCCGGATATTCGTGTGGCATCGAAGCCACCTCTGTTCATGCTGATGATCATGACCCTCTCTGAGTGGATGCGTGCAAGACATTGTACATTGCGCAATAATAGGCCAGTTGATTCACAGACTTTAGGGACCGGTTCGCCGACCCAGTCACTTGACGCCATGGATGCTATGCAACTGTGCAACACTCTGGTCTACAAACAAAACGCAGACCACGAACATCTGTGCTATGATTTACTAGTGTTAGGTGCACATCTTTGGATGGTGCAGCATGTGATGTGCTACCATGGTGCGGCGGTTGTTCCGTAATTGTGTTGGTACTTGTTAGTTAGCAGGTGAAAAACTGTTTCAAAACAAAAAAACGGCGCCAAAGATTGACCGCTTATTCCACACAAGTATTGTGATGGCTCCATTGTAGATTCGAACTGGTTCAACTAGCGCAATAGAAGCTTCACGAGACGAGCCGGAAGAATAGCACTCAAATGGTTTGATTCGCTCATATGTGAATTGACTATAAAGGGGATTGGCTTACCATGGGTAAACTTTTTTTCAGTCAACTGCAATCAGAGTGTGCAGTATGTTACGTGATTGCTGTCACTAAGTTCTGGCTTCAAAATAGTCTTTAAAAAAAGCTATCTGATTCCACATCGACTCCACGGTTCAGCTATGACAGAATTTTACTACACAGCTGCTATGAAAGCTGAGTAATCCATGAATGCGAACGTCGTAGCAGGGAGAGTAACCACCAGGTCGGCAGTTCATTGCTGTTAAACCAACTAACTAAAAATCGATAAACCGGTTCAAATGTATGTGGGATTTCCATTCACGTAGCAATCGCTACTGACGCTTTCGAAGTGTGCCATCTTCCTCCATTGGGTTTCGTGTTCTCATCGAGTATCCAATGTATCTCAGGGTCCTGCTGATCACTGCGACATCGGACTGCTTTGTGTGCATAGTTATTCGACTACCGATACAATATGGGACCGTGCCATGATATACCTTGGCGGAAGAGACACCGAACCAGCGTGCCTGTTCGATTCCGGAATTCATCTACTGATACTCCCACCAGTGGTACTTATCTCCGGATAACCCGATTTGCCTGCAACCAACGGCTTCTGTCTTCTACTTGTGTGATAACTTGTGGAAGCGGCTGCGACCCTACCGAATACGCTGTCGGGTTGCCCAAGGTCACCATCAATACTTTTGGGCCGGGAACTTTCAACCTGCCCCCTGAGCTAACGAATGTTTAGTTGAAATCCGAACTGGTCGGCTGTTTATTTCTCCTAAGCATCCATTCTAGGAGAATACTTATCGGTGAATTAAAACTCTGGGAACGATAGCTCTTGGTCTCACAGGCAAAGTAATCAGCCATCTGTTTAGGTACTTCTTCCCACACTCAGTTCGCTTGGTTGCTTCAGAAGGAACTGTTTAGAATCAGCTATTATGTGAGGAAAGCCCTTTCCTTAGCCCTACAATACCTACTCTCTCGACCTGTAACTCATCCGTATCGACCGCAAACATGTTTTCGTCTGATTCGCTGTTGCTTTCGCATTTTGTTACATCTGTCAGCCAGTCCGTTGCATGACACATGTGCGTAATTGTCCCCATATGTGAACACAAGAGTGGCGGGTATACTGTATACTTTTACATACACCAACCACTCACTGGTCAAAAAATTTTGTAACAGTTCCTGTTCAGTCTCCACTAGGCTAAACTCATTGCGCGGAGATACCGGGCCAGAAACAGACATCGTATTTTTGTTAGATATGTAGTATTCAACCCACCCAGGGGAATGCTTGTTGACCTTTTATTTGCATTATTTGGATCCTATCCTTACTGGTTATATGGCATTTCTTGTTGCTTTCCTGTACACTAACTTCCGAGTCCTATTTTTCAGTGTGTTCAAAACATGTTTCATACCGTTTTAGGCTTTGTCGGCACAATCATAGACCGGTGAAAGTGAGGCGTATTGTAAAATCACCGGTCACCCCTAGAGTGCGTGTGACGAATGTTATCGACTTATCGATTACATTTTCCCCGGGACTACAAAGGCTGTGTGTTTGAGGCTCAAACAAGTTGTCAGGTCTAAACACGTACGCAAACCCCCGAAAAGGGCTACCACAGTGCCCTCTCTATTCGTCGTCACGCCTCTAGCCTCCGAGCTAAACAAGACTTCTAGTACTGACAGTTAGGGAAACCTGAAGAACGATAAATTAGCTGGATTGAAAAGACTCTGCACAATGTCATACATTCTGACCACTGTTTTTTGATCAGTTGAAGGTGCATAGCCCCACCAATGGGCCGTTCGGCTTGTTAGCCTAATTCGACTTTGTCACACCGTGTTAGGTTGTTTACCCGCCGATACTTGCTAGTCGGGTCTCCGTCCTTTATCGTTTTCATCGTTAGCTGTGCCGTCCGATGAATTTATCACGCACAGTGCCAAAGAACTACTTATTATTACTAAGTATTATTAAGTTATTATCAAGTTCAGTACAAGTGAATTCATCTGTTCCATCCATATCGGGGTGAGTAACAACCATTCTAACTCAATTATTGCTACTTGTGAGTAGTCTTGTTCTGAGAGAAGGATTGATACTTGAAGATAAACGGTAAGAAGTGAACGATTAGCAGTAGGATAGGTAAAAACACTTAGCCACGAGTTTCTTTACCAAGTCGGTGGTTGCATAAGGCGAAGTGGACCTGTCAAGCAAACCTGACGATAAGCAGATGCCTGGGTTATGAATGAAACAAGCAGAGTAAATTTCGATGAAATACACTTTTTTGCGAATTCTAATACATTCTACCGTGTTGGATCAAGTTGGCAGGACTTGTTCAATGATATTTCAGGGAGGTGGGGTTGTGCTATAAAGAGAAACGAGATGATTTATCACTAAGTATCTCAGCCCTCAATTAATACAAGAACGATGTGTTTCAGTAAAAAAAGATAAGCTAAACGTCAGTGAAGTGAAGAAGCTTTGGACAATCTTACGGTTTCCGCGTTTCACACACACACACACACACACACAGGGTATAACAGTGCCGGCATTGGCTTAGGTGGTCAAAAGCAAAACTGAGGTAGTACTGTAGCACAACAGACAACCTCTCTCTTTTGTATGGCACTCTGCTGTT